TCTTTTAAGACTTTGAATAGCTCAGCTGGAATACCATCACCTCCACTAGCTTTGTTGTTAGCAATGCTTTCTAAGGCCCATTTCACTTCACATTCCAGGATGTCTGGCTCGAGGTCAGTGATTATACCGTCATGGTTGTCAAGGACATTGAGGTCTTTCTTGTATAGTTCTGTGTATTCTTGCCATCTTTTCCTAATCTCTTCTGCTTCTGTTAGGTCCCTACCGTTTTTATCCTTTATCATGGCCAGCTTTGCATGGAACGTTTCCTTGATTTCTCTAATTTTCTTGAAGAGATCTCTAGTCCTTCCCATTCTATCGTTTTCCTCTTTTACTTTGCATTGTTTATTCAGGAAGGCCTCCTTATCTCTCCATGCTGTTCTCTGGAAATCTGCATTCAGTTGAGTAAATCTTTCCTTTTTGCCTTTGCCTTTCGCTTTCCTTCTTTCCTCTGCTATTTGTAAAGCCTCATCAGACAGCCACTTTGCTTTGTTGCATTTCTTTTTCTTTGGGATGGTGGTGATTGCTGCCTCCTGTACAATGTCATGAACCTCCGTCCATAGTTTTTCAGGCACTCTTATCTATCAAATCTAGACCCTTGAATCTATTCTTCACCTCTACTGTATATTCATCAGGGATGCAATCTAGGTCAAACCTGAATGGCCTACTGGTTTTCCCCATTTTCTTCAGTTTAAGTCTGAATTTTGCAATGAGTAGCTCATGATCTGAGCCACAGTCAGCTCCAGGTCTTGTTTTTACTGACTGGATAGTGGGCTAGGGACAGTATATATTTAGACGTGTTAGGGCATTTGATTTATTTTCTTTTCACCTACTTACTGTTATATTTCTGCACCTTGTTGTTTGACCTCCTATATAATAAACTATTTTCATTGTTCACTCTGCCTGGTCCTCACGCTTATTATTTGGCCAAAAGGGAGGTCTAAAGGCCTGGGAAGGTGCTCTGGGCCTTCTCAGAGGAGCCTGGAACCAGAGTGGTGGCAGCGTCAGGTCTGTAGCAGACTCAACCACAATACTGCTTGTCCTTCCTTCCCTTATCCTCACCCAGATACTTTCCACAGGGCTGTTCCCCTCCCCCTCCAGTATTTCTTCACAAACCCTCTCTTTACATACAGCACCACTCCACCTCCTCTTCAACCCTTTTAATTTTTCTTGAACAACTCATATCCATCCATTATTACATTCCCGTCCTGGGGGTCATCCCACCAAGTCTCCGTAATGCCTACTAAATCATATCCCCCATCGGCATTAGGAGCTCCCTCTCACTGGCAGTCTTTAGGCACCAGCTGGACAAACACTTGTCAGGGATGCTCCTAGTCCATAGGTTCCCAAACTTATTTGGCCAACCGCCAAAAGCCAGGACTCTTCTTTCTTTATATTTTCACTGCCCCCTTATTTGTATTCAACGCTCCCCAATTGCACCCAAGACTCCAACCACCTACCTGGATCATTCCAGCACCCTCAGGGGGTGGTATTGTCCACTTTGGGAACTAGTGCGTCAAGTCTAATCCTGCATTGAGCAGGGGGTTGGACTAGATGGCCTGTATGGCCCCTTCCAACTCTGTGATTCTATGATTCTAAGCTCAAGCTCTTCTTTCTTCTTGCACAAGCTTTGGGCATTTGTACGTAGACACCTGAAGCCCCACACTTTTGGCTCCATTAAACCTTGCTCTTCTTTATTTAAATCCCTATCGTGGTCATCTCCTTCCCTTTACAGTGTCAGTTTCAAGCCCTCTTAATGAATCTCCCCAGGTTTCCACCAAACACCTACTTCCCTAACCTTAACAGGTGAAGTCCATTGTGTGCTAATAGGTTGTTGTGCAGAAAATCTAGCCTGTGGTCCCAGAATCCAAATTGCTCCTGCTGGCACTACCAACGCATCCAGTAGTTTACCTCCATTATTGTCCGTTCCCATCATATTCCCCTTCCTATGACAAGAAGGATTGAGGAGAACTCCACCTGTGCTCCAGTTCCCTTCAGCTTCCTCCTGATAGCTTCATAGTCACCCTTAAGACAGCCCGACTCTGGTTGGGAGGGCGGGGTAGAAATTCAATAAATAAATAAATAAATGCCCAAATATAAATATAAACATTGTTTGCACAAATGTATACCCAGGCTTTTATGTTTTTATTGTCGTTTGTTTCTCTAGTGCAAGGTCAGCAATGTTCTATGATTAAGTAGCCAAGGTGCATGAAGATTCTCTTGGTGTAGTGGTTAGGAGGACTCTAATCTGGAGAACCGGGTTTGATTCCCCACTCCTTCTCCACATGAAGTCAGCTCCACCTACCTCACAGGGTGTCTGTTGTGGGGAGAGGAAGGGAAGGCAATTGTAAGCCGCTCTAAGACTCCTTCAGGTTGTGAAGGGTGGGGAATAAAACAAACTACTCCTCCTCCTCCTCCTCCTCCTCTCCTTTCCTTTAAGTCCCGCACCCATCTTTTGGCTGTCTTTCCCTTCACATACTGGGTCTTGTGGCATCTCGCATAAAGGTAAAGGTAAAGGTTCCCTTGCTCGAAAGCCAGTCGAATCCGACTCTAGGGTTGCGGTGCTCATCTCCGTTTCAAAGCCGAAGAGCCAGCGCTGTCCGAAGACGTTTCCGTGGTTATGTGGCCGGCATGACTAAACACCAAGGCGAACGGAACGCTGTTACCTTCCCACCGAAGTGGTACCTATTTATCTACTTGCAATCTCGCATACACCTCCCTTAACTTAGAAGATCTATTTTTCTTCAAGAGTCACATTTGGCTCTGGAGCAGTGGGCTTGTTGCAGGCCCCCCCGTCTGCATTGGTGGTGTGGCCAGGTTAGGTGCGGCTGGGCTGGGCTGGGCTGGGCTGGAAATCCGACGTGTCTCACAGACTTGGTGGCGTCACTTGAGTTAGAAATTAGTGTCCTGCCTGAGAGTGTTCCTTCATAAATGAAATGTATTAAACACCTTAACTGTTGTCTGAATTCCTCTCCCTCTTTTTTGCGTCTTAATCCTTGCAGGTCTGGGATCTCAGTGATATTGACAAAGACGGTCATCTTGACAAAGACGAATTTGCCGTGGTAGGTTTTCAGGGTGCTCACCCTTTGACCCAGGGGGCTGTGCAGGGACTGCTGAGTGGTGGGATCTGCCTGAGTTCCCAACTGTGCAGGAGGGCCCATCTCCCCCCCCCCAGGCCTCCTCAGTGGATTTCACTTTTCCCAGGCCTCTGTCTTCTTCTACTGTCCCGTCCCATCTCCTGCTGCATCGCTGCCCCGGCCCCGTTCGTCCTTGGTGCTGCCTCGCTGCATGTTTCCCTCCTTGTTGCCCTCTGCAGATCTCTTTTCCCTCTGGGCCCTTTGCAGGCAATGCACCTGGTGTATCGCGCTCTCGAGAAGGAGCCTGTTCCCTCTGTGTTGCCCCCGCCTCTCGTCCCACCTTCCAAGCGAAAGAAGACGCCCGCCTTCCCTGGAGCAGTCCCTGTTCTTCCTGCTAGCCCTCCCCCCAAAGACAGCCTGCGCTCCACCCCCTCCCATGGCAGCGTAAACAGCCTGAACAGCACGGGGAGCCTGTCGCCCAAACACAGCCTCAAGCAAGCGCCGGTATGTGTGGACCCCGCGTGGGGGGGGGGGGTTGGGCTGAGTTGAGCCAAGCCCAGTTTTTTCCCAGCCTGGCAGTGGCTCTCGGGTCTGTGTAGGGCAGAAGTCTGGCCTGGTGCTGCTGCCTGAGAGCTTCTTTGAACAGGGATTGCTCTGTAAGCCGCCCACGGGTTCTGGTTCCGCCTCCCCATGTGGAGTTCAGGGGCTTTATTGGCAGAAGTCTAGGTGATGGGCAGCAGGCAGGTTCGTCTTCACTGATGTCTCGGGGGAACTGGGGGGGGGGAGTTCACCTACTGCCCCCTGTTAGTGAAATGCTGGCTTTTGCTAACATTTGGCGGTTGTTTCAGGCCCCTGCCGCCTGGGTGGTGCCCGTGTCCGACAAGGCCCGCTATGATGACATTTTCTTGAAAACAGACGTGGACCTGGATGGGTTTGTGAGTGGTCTGGAAGTGAAGGACATCTTCATGCACTCTGGTCTTTCTCAGAAGCTCTTAGCACACATATGGTAAAAATCTGTTCTCTTTTCTTTCCCAGTCAGAAGGTGTGATGTTGTTGGGCAGTGCTGGGTGTTAATTGAGCCATTGGTATTCCAGAGATTAGGGCGGGTGTGTGTGTCTCTCTGAGACAGTCCGGTCAGGTGCTTTTCTGCTTTCTGTAGAGTAAATTTGGGCTCAGGGGTGCAGTGTGGTAACACCAATTTTCTGACAGGGCCTTGGCCGACACAAGGCAGATGGGGAAGCTCAGTAAAGACCAGTTTGCGCTCGCCATGTTTCTCATCCAGCAGAAGGTCAGTAAAGGCATCGATCCTCCACAGGTGTTGCTCCCAGAGATGATTCCTCCCTCAGAAAGGACCACTCCTGTACAGGTGAGCGGCCCTGCTCTTATTTGCTATTACAAATAGCTGTTCCCATCCCTCTTGTAATGCTGCCTTGTAGCCCTTAGTTACCTTCCCCGGGATTCTTGTTCTGCTGGCAACTGATAGTTTAAAAAAAATGCTTCTTCCGATGTTATTGACCCTGAACGGTTTGTCCTCCTGTAACCCTGGTCAGTACTGGCAACAGGAGGCTGGCTTTCACAGCAGGCAACGCAGGATGTGCATGGCATCTTCTTTCCTCCCCATCCTCTGGCACGTTCTGCCTTTCTGTCACCATGGTCCCTTTTGTCTTAAGGACTGATAGGCAGCAGCTTGGGGCCCAGGGGTTGAGACGCCAAGCCTGGCCAGGCAGATGCTTCCATTTACTCTTGTGCTTGTACCCTGTCCATCTCTTTCTCCTCACCGGGACATTTTCCTGGGCCCTTTCTCTGCAGTGTCTGAGCTGCTGCCCCTGTCCTTTTCCCTCTAGACTCTCTCAGGCTACTTGGCCTCTGTAGGACCTGAGATCTCGATGCTCGCAGAAATGCGTCGTGTGAGTACCTGCAGCGCCCCGGGGATTGCAGCCTCCACTGCACACCACCCCAGCTTTCCGCAGCATGTCTCTTTATCTGTGTCTGCTTCTGCATCCAGGGCAGCTTTAAAAGCAGTCACACTGAATTTTGTTCAGGCCACTTTTCTCTTTCCAGTGGCCAGTAGTCGATACCTTTTGGTTCAAGAATGCCAGTTTTGTGCTTGCATCCTGCTCTCTTGCTTTATTCACACATTGCTTTACGGTTCTGTTGTGCTGTCCTTTTGAGGCACGGAAGTCTCCCCATGGCTGGCTTCCCGAGTGTTATGCGAGACGCTGCAGTCCATTTCGCACGTGGGATAGGCCATAGGTTTTAATGCTGTTTGCAACCAGTCAGAATGTTGAGACTCCTGTGTAGATTTGGAAATGCCATTCTGGAGCTTGAAAGCAAGCTAATTTTGTGAGGCCAGGGAGGCTTCTGAATGATAAACTGTACCTCAGTAGGGTGTGCTGGTTTTTTACAGGACAGCTCAAGTTCCATCGGATCCGGGGAATATACTGGTGTGAAAGAGCTGGATGACATCAGCCAGGAGATCGCACAGCTGCAGAGGTTAGTGGTGTGGGAGGAGCAGCTCCCGGCTCACAAGTGTCACGCGCTTGTGCCATTTGTTTATAGAGCAGTTCTACAGCCGGTCATAACCTTTGTTCTCCCTTGCAATGACCCTGTGAGGTAGGTCATTATTGCACCGTTACTCTGCAGAGAGCTGTGTGCAGTGATGTCATTTGTTTTTTAAAAAGTAATTTATTACCTTATTCTTAACTGGGGACTTCAGACTAACTTCCTGACGAAGTCCCATTACTGAGGAGGGATTTAAACTCTGGTTTTTATATATAGAGACAAGCAATGTTCCCTCTAAGCTGTGGAGTCTTGTGAGCAAAAATTCTACTGTGTGAGCTACTGGCATTAAAGTTGTGAGCAAGTGATCTGGCTGCTGCATAAATTAGTTTGCTCTGGAGCCATCCTTCCTGAGCGAAGAGAAAAATGTGTGAGCCGGAGACTAAAAAACTGTGAGCTAGTTCACACTAACTCATCTTAGAGGGAACACTGGAGACAAGATTTTATTATTTATTTATTTATTTATTTTATTCAATTTATACCCCGCCCTCCCCGCAGCGCGGGCTCAGGACGGCTTACAAAGAGGCATGTGCCAATATAAAAACATATTTAAAATCATTTAAGATCACTACAATACAAATAAAATAAGATGTGCTTTTAAACCTGTCTTTATGCGCATACTGATGTTTTGTTCATTTGTACTATGTGCATAGTTAACATTTTACTTTTTTCTTTGTTCCAACCTTTTTGGTTTACCTGTATTGGAAAGAATGCTTCATCTGATGGTGTCATCACATTTTCCTCTGACAGAGAGAAATATTCTCTAGAGCAGGACATCCGAGAGAGGGAGGAAGCGATCCGGCAGAAGACGACCGAAGTCCAGGTAAAGAAGCCCTGAGGGCTGTTGTGGTGTGGTGGTCAGTGTGTCATAGTAAGAGATCCCGGTTCAAATCCCACTCTGCCATAGAAGCTCACTAGGTGACTTTGGGGCAGTCACTCTCACAGGCTTACCGACCTTACGGGGTTCTTTTGCAGAAGAGAGGGGGGGGTGGCTTGCTTACGAGTTCACAGCTGGAATTTGAACTGGGAGGCCTTTGTGATGTGCTGTTCTGTCCATCAGCTGCTAGGGGAGTAGAGCAGCCCTTTGGGTGTTTTGTCACTGTGACCAAAGCCTTAAATCTGTGCCGGTGCCCTTTCATTCTCTTCGCCTGGCTGAAGTCCTTGTTTTACCACTTCTCCTCCCTTTGAGACAGAGTGGGCGTTTCTGAGTGACAATGGCAGCTAGGAAAGCAGGCTAGGAAAAGGTCTCAGCTTTTTGAACAGGAAAACTGTGCTGGCCAGTGCAGAGCCACTAAATTTCCTGTCTTAAAGCAGCCATGGCCTGCAGAATGAGTTCTGAGAAACCCTCTTGCGGTGCTGCTCATCTGGATCATGAAAAGATGTGATGCATCTAGTCCTGTCTCACACAGCAGCCCAACCAATTGCTCTGGAGAGTGGGTAAACAGGGCTCAGAGGCCAAGGCTTTCCCCTGATGTTGCCGCCTGGCCCTAGTATTCAGAGGTGTGCTGCTTCTGAATGTGGAGGCTCCCTTTAGTCACTGTGGTTAGTAGCCATTTATGGACCTTTCCTGTATGAATCCATTTTAAACCTATAGTCCAGGAGCCACTAGTCTACTTATCCCATTTCTACATCCTGTGTTCGTTGCTTACGATGCACTGTAATGATCCAGAGAAAGGAGGAGCCAACATCTTTTTCTGGGGGCAAAAGCTTTCCCTTCTCAGGGCAGCCACTTCTCCCCTTTGGACACCAGTCCATGGCTTCTTACTACTGCTCTGTAGATTTTGGTGTAGAAGTTGGAATTCTGGTTGGTCATCCTTGCCCCCAATAATCTGTCCTGTAGCACAGCATCTCTCTGCAGCTGGCTAACCAAGTTCTGGCTCTTCAGGATTTGCAAAACGATTTAGACCGAGAAACCAGCAGCTTGCAAGAACTGGAAGCTCAAAAGCAGGATGCGCAGGATCGCCTAGATGAGATGGACCAGCAGAAGACCAAGCTGAAGGATATGCTGAGTGATGTGAGGCAGAAGTGCCAGGAAGAGACGCAGGTGGTGAGGAAAGGAGCAGGAGACAGGGTGGGGGGCAGAAGACGGGATCTGGCCTACTGGAGCAGCTGGGCCCCTGCACTGGAGGGCCAGACAATGCTTTTAGGGGGACGGGCCTCTCACAAGGGACTTTGGCTTAAGCCGAAGGCCATGTGACGTTACACTCCCCTGTGGGTTTTGTATTGAAGGGCATCCATTGCTAGATACACACCTGACTTCGAGAATTAATTAGATGCGGTGACTGATGACTTCTGATTCTTAGCCACGTTCAGAGGCAGTGTTTCTCCAGGTGTAAGATGGTGGCAGTCTGCCTCCTTGCCCAGGTTGTGAATTTCACATGTGAATGCACCTTTGGAGGGTAATTCTGTGCTTCCTGAAGGATCTGGACACATTGTCAACCTGCAAAATAAGGAAACCCTTCTTACATTTTCGGTAGCTTTCGTAAGCTTTCTCCCCCCCCCCCCCCCACACCCCGACCAATTTTCACCCCTCTTTTCCATTTTCAGATTTCGTCATTAAAAATGCAGATTCAGTCCCAAGAGTCAGATCTAAAATCCCAGGAGGACGACATCAGTAGAGCAAAAGTGGAACTGAATCGGCTACAGCAGGAAGAGACGCAGCTAGAGCAAAGCATCCAGGCTGGGAAAGTACAGCTGGAGACAATCATAAAATCTCTGAAATCAACTCAGGAAGAAATCAGTCAGGTAAGGCGTCGCTTCCACTGATGCAACCTCTCTTCTCCACCTGCACTGTTTCTATACTGTCGAGGCCTCAGGCAGGGCTCTTTTTGTAGCAGGAACTCCTTTGCATATTAGGCGACACACCCCTAATGTAGCCAATCCTCCAAGAGCTTACAGTAGCCCCTGTAAGAAGAGCTCTGTAAGCTCTTGGAGGATTGGCTACATTAGGGGGGTGTCGCCTAATATACAAAGGAGTTCCTGCTACAAAAGGAGCCCTGGGCATTTCTGCATAAGCCATTTCCCAGGAGACAAATCTGTGGGGCCAAAACGCAAACTCCACTGTTATTTCTAGGAGGAGGCTGGGTAGCTGTGTGAGTCTGTTGCCCCCCAAGGCAGCAAAGAGTTTTGTGGTGGAAGTTCCCACAAGCCGGATTTCTATCCTTGCCTCTTTGTGTCGGCCGATGACCTTGCTTTGTGGGTGGATACATTGCTGCCGGGGAGAACTCCGGCCTGACTGGATGGTTGACCTCTTTTTTTTTTTTTTTTTTTTTTGGTGTTTCCGCCTGTGCTCTGCATCATCATGTGACTCAACTCCGTCCTGGGCATCTGGACTTTCTGGCCTCCCTTTGTCGTTTCTTTTGCAGTTTGTCATTCCGGCTTTATGTGTCCTTCTGCCAGGCGTCAGACAAAGTGGGCTCTGGCTCCTGGAAGCTGGTGCCAGAAGTTTGATAGCTTGGGCCACACCTCTTGCTTAACGTCGCTTGTTCGTTAATTTTATTGACGTTACTTATGGTCCCACATTTTTCACAGTTCCACAAGGCAGATTTATGCGTAGTGAGTCATTAAAATCGACAAAATGGGACATTCGGTAACTGATGCACTGCTATATTAGAAGTCTGGAACCACCAGAAAGAAAGAGAAGCGCAGCATAAGAATTCACACGACACATTAAGCGGTCCAGAAATTACATTGTAGGATCCTACTGACAATAAGGTATAGACCACAATTCCCAGTCATCTATCCAAGCAAGTTTGTGAACCATTCTGTATCGTACAGCCTTCTTGCCTGTGTAGAAAAGCCCTCTCGAAGAGTTCAGTTTTACCTAGGCTGAGGGAGGCCCAGGAGAGGGGGGTGGGAGCCTTTCCTGACCTCCTCGGGCAGGCCCCATCCCACCAGGCGGGAGACACAAGGGGGGAGGAAGCGCGTGAGTACAAAGGCCGTTTTTGATTTCGAACCTCCAAAGGAAGTTTAGAAAACTAATTGAGGGCCAAAAGTTAAAATCATAAGTGTACCAAAGAGTGTTTATTACAAAGATATATAAAAACTTAGTATGGGCCCAAATAAAGCCTTATAAAATGTACAAAGTTACAAATACACACAAAAGAGAACAGCCTGACGCATTTCGGCTCACAAGAGCCTTTTTCAGAGGTCAAATAGTGCAAAATATAACCAGCGACAGAGTCCCTGTAACACATGTAAGGCCATTAACAATAAATACAAAATAAATAAAATAGGACCAAAATTGGAATGTTCCAATATGGAATTGAATGGCACACCAAAAAGTTGCAAGGTGCGCTAGCCCTTGGATGGAAGAACTGACAAAGTGAAGTACTAACTAGAAGAGACGTCAGCGTTCCCTGGAGCGTATCATCAGAATCTCCATCTTGGAACTGTCATAGTTTACTGCTGAGCACCGATATTTTAATTGTAATGATTATTTATTGGTTTTAAATTGTTTTATTGTATGGCATTTGCCTCTTATGTTAGCCGCCCTGAGCCCATGTAGAAGGGCGGGATATAAACCCAATAAAATAAATAAATAAACTATTTGGGCCCACAAATACATCTGGCCTTGCATCAGAAGCTGTTGTATGAACTGGAAATATTATGTACCTCCCAGTTTAGGTCCCGAGAGTGCAAATAGAATCGCCTTGTCAGGGACAATGTGCCATCACCTGCACGTGTAACACCTGTTGTATGTAACACCTGCAGCAGCCCCTGCTGACTTGATCAAAGTTGTCTTGGTGGAGCACAGGGAGAGGGGCAGCCCCGCAAATAAGAGGGGCCACGGCCATGAAGGGCTTTGAGTGTGAGAGCCAATGCCAGATGGGCAGCCAGTGGCGCGTCTGCAGAATGGGAGTAATAGGCACGCTCCACCTAGCCCCCATTGGTAGCTGAGCCGCAGCATTCTGGGCCAGTTGGGAGTTTCCAAGTTGATTTTGAGTGGGGAAAGGAGGTATGGTTTTTGAGGCCGAAATACTTGCAACTCTTTCAAGAGCTAAAATCTTGCCCATTCAGTATCATTAGCCCCACCCACCCCTTCTCCCAGTTTCCCATATAAACATTTTGATGGAAATGATTGAAAAGCAACAGCAGAGCACCGCTGCCGCCACCTGGTTTTTGAAAGATCAGCGTCTCCTTGCGGATTCTGAAGTTGAAGAAGATCCTCTGGATGTGGATCAAAAATGCTTTGGAAGGCAGCCTGTGTGGAACCAGAGTTAGGATAGTAGTACAGCCCTCTGTGTGAATCATTAACCTACCTAAAAGGGCTCCTTCCACAGCACTGGTTGAAAACAGGAATGTGGCCAGGATCACATTTGCCACTTGTGTGAGGTTGGAAGCTGGTTATGGCTGGGTCGGCCATGGTCATTGTGCTGTGCTCTTCTTACAGGCAAGAAGCAAGCTTTCTCGTTTGCAAGAGAGCCACCAGGAAGCCAGCAGAAGCATTGATCAGTATAACGAAGCCCTGAATGGTGTCCACGGTGGCAGCATGACCAACCTGGCTGACTTGAATGAGGGAAACCCACAAAAGGACAGGGGCAGCTTTGGAACCTTGGTAAGGATGCCATGAATTCAGATTGTCCTGATCCAGAGAGTTTGAAGCTGAGAGAGAACCTAGAAAGTTCCCAGCAGAGGCAGATTTTGAGTTGGGGGTTGCCTGGTTCAGAGTTTGGTCTCTTAGCTGCTACTTTACGAGAGGCCATTCCACCACTGGGTGCATGCCGATGAAGGGACTCCTCAGTCCACTGTTACAGACCATGTTGGCAGGCAGATTCTTCCAGGCATGTTTATGTAGGTCGGCATGGGATGACAATCCCTGCCCAAGGAAATCTAATCCCATCTGATTGGTATCCCATCTGATCCCATCTGTATTGTATTCAGACATGTGAGTTCCTCTGCATAGCCTCTGGCTTGAGTTGAAAGTTACTCACCTGTTGCTAGTCTTGCTCGCATTTATAATTCTAAAGACTGTGCATAATTCCAAAGAATGTTGTTTGACAGGGAGGTGGGGGGAGATGCTGCTTGCCAGGTACCTGGTCTGCCTGATGTTTCTGTCTTTATAGCACATTAGCCTAAGAGCCATAGCAAGCAATAGAGTAAAACAGTAAAATCATCACAGTGTATACAACCAATAAAATAAGCATGTCATTGTAATATATTACAGTTTTTCAATAACACATAGCCATAACGATAGATTCAGGTGGGTCGCCGTGTTGGACTGAAGCAATACAACAAAGTCTGAGTCCAGTGGCACCTTTAAGGCCAACAAAGTTTAATTCTGGGTCTAAGCTTTCGTGGGCACATAGCCATAATACCACTTAGGAATCATCAGCATGTAAAACCTCAGTAATAACACACGACTGTTAGCAATACTTGGCAACCATCTAAGGGATCCAATTGCCTGGTGTTTCCACGTCTGATGACAGGACGATCCGTTCAAGAACAAGGCCCTGCTGTTCAGCAGTGATGCACAGGAACTGCATGCAGACCCCTTCCAGGCCGAAGACCCCTTCCGGTCAGACCCCTTCAAAGGCAGTAAGTATTGCCTGGGTGGAATGAGCCAGCCAGAAAGGGAGTGTCTTCAGCACCAGCTCTTCCCCGCCCATTAGCTGCCACCGTCTCTCTCTGCTCTCCCCAGGCGATCCGTTCCAGAACGACCCTTTTGCAGAGCAGCCATCCGCAGCAACTGGTAAGCCCCCATGTCCTCTTCTGCAGGGCCCTGATCTTTTTTTTCCTTGCTGAGAATTGGGGAGGGTGGAGAGACCATAGGATGGAATCGTCTGTGCCTTCCCAAAGAAGATGGACGAAATACGATCAGATACTGTGTCCGCGAAGTATGCCCAGGTGAGAGTACTACGAATCCTTGTTACAGCTTCGTTGGAGTACTTGCTGCAGCAGCCGCAGTAAAGAGGGCATGCTTCTGTTCCTGGGAACTGAGGAAGTCTGACAGCTGGGAGACGACTTAGGAAGGGGAATAGCAAGGGACGGGGCTCTGTTCCAATTGGCTTCCACTGATTGTCATTTAATGTTTGATAGGTCAGAAAGGGGGAAAGGCCTCCCCGCTGGATGGGTGGTGCATTTCTGTGTGCTTTGCTGTTAATTTCTGTGTTCTGACTCTTCTGCCAGATCCTTTTGGAGGAGATCCGTTTAAAGAAAGTGACCCATTCCAGACTTCCGTGCCAGAGGATTTCTTTAAGAAGCCTGAGAAAAGTGATCCATTTGTCTCTGACCCATTCTCAAAAAATCCCACGTTGTCCTCTAATAAAGTAAGGATGATGGGCCAGCTGGTGGCCGTTGCCCTGCCGTGAGCTTGGGTGGTGTGCGAAGACTTGTGCATTGTCTGCAAAGACTTGTGAAGGAGCTCAAGAGCTCTGTGGTGGGAGTGGGAAACTGAACAGTTCCTCCCTCTAGCACTGGGAGATGCGAAGCATGCCATTCCCTGAATGTACATGACCCTTTTGTTCTGCTCCTGTGTTTTAGCCTCATGGCTTCGAGAACTCCGATCCATTCATGACGTCAGGTCTCCCTTTGAAAGGCCCAGGTATGAGCAAAGGCCCTCTTTTCTCATGTGCTGAGTCATACCATTGCAAATTGACAGTGATGTTTTCTTTCCTTCCATAAGCTGTTCTACATGTATCCTAATCATACTTGCAAAAGTAACCAGGGGTTGAGTCAAGCTCTGTCCAAAGCCTACAATTTGGGTTTTGCCCTGAAGGATGGGTTATGCCATGGTACTGGGGCCCAGCTGCATGCGGTTCCTGAGATGCTCAGCAAGCTTCCATTGGCATTGGCAGTGTTGCATGCGGTTCCTGAGATGCTCCCACTCAGCAAGCTTCCATTGGCATTGGCAGTGTGGCAAGGGATCCCAGCTTGTCAGAGCGTTCTGGCCCAACCCTGTCTGGAGCTTGTCCTACAGGGTAGACATCTAAAAGAAGCTAGTTGGAAGTCACCAGCTTATTAACATTTTGGTTTCAGATCTTTTTGGGACGTTGGATCCCTTTGGCAGTGGCGCTTTCAATAGCACTGAAGGATTTGCAGATTTTAGCAGAATGTCAAAGGTAAGTTCTTCTTAAAGACACTCTCTCAATATTGAACAGAGGTTTCACCACCATATCTATCCCAATTTGATTTGATGCCTCCTCAGTCCCCCGTGGGAGTCATTTGGCAACATTTTAGCACAGAATCTGGTCGGTAGCCGTGTTGGTCTGAAGCGGAAGAACAAAGTTTGATATCAGTGGAACTTTTAAGACCAAAAAAGTTTTATTCAATATGAGCTTTCATGTGCACACACACTTCTTCAGATCCAATGAAATGTGTCCTACTCATAGAGGGTGGGCAGTGAATTAGCATGCAGAATAGTGAATATTTTTTTAACAGATTAAAAGAATAATAAGCTTAGTTTATTGCTATCGTCTGTTTCAGTTCAACTTGGGGGGGGGGGGGCAGGGAAAAAAAAACCTGAATTGTGAGAGTCTGTTACTAGGTTCTGTCTGTCTCCTCTCAAGCAAGGAGGAAACATTGCAGCATCTTTTTCTTTGAAGTGGGGCTATTGGCTATGTTATTTTCCTTGTCCCCAGACCAGCAAAATACATTTGAATCTTACCATTCCAAATTACATTACATATTAAGTAAACTGAGACTCTGCTGTTCCATTCTTCTCCCCTCACACATGGAGTTAACTAACAGAGTCCTTTTCTTAGAGGTTGGGTGCAATGTTATGTCAAAGAAATACATTTCAATATTCATTGTGTAATATTACAATTACTTATTCCACTATACTAGTCCAAAATAGAAATATACAAAATTACAGAGAATGTATAGTGCTTTTTGGTGAGAATACATACGCAAAGACTGAATGAGCTTAGCATATGTACTGAGACAATAAACTAATATCCCTTTTGAGTCCTGGGGATTCCATTGTTCTGAGTGTTGTAATAAGTTTTTGTTGTTGTTCAGTCGCACAGTCGAGTCCGACTCTCCGCGACCCCATAGACCAGATCATGCCAGACCTTCCTGTCTTCCGCCGTCCTCTGCAGTTTGCTCAATTTCATGTTCGTTGCATCGATGACACTGTCTAACCATCTCATCCTTTGCCGTCCTCGTCTTCTTTGACCTTCAATCTTTACCAGCATCAGGGTCTTCTCCAGTGAGTGCTCCCATCTTCGACGTGGTCTCTGTGCTTCACACCCATGGGATTCAGTGTGCATGCACTGGATCGATCGGGGCTGTAGCAAGCTCTATTTTAACGGATTTTCGCGCCCAGTCCCCGGGCATGCGCAGGAACCCCACCACGCATGCCCAGAGGGGTGGGTGCGGACATCCCACCAGTTCCTTTCTTACCGCCGCGTTGGAAAGACCTGTTTCTCCATCGGTCTGATTGGATCGCTGTTAGCTTCAGCAAACCTCTCAGCTCTAGGAAATTATTTCCATACTTTATTCTTTTCTTTTCTCTTCATTGTTCTTCAGAATTTTTTTTTAAAAAAGGACTTTGTTTTCTCTGAGGGGAATTTACCTCAGCCCTTCGGGCTACACCCCACACTTCTTATGGAGAAGAAGTGGGGATTTTTTAATAGGTGTCGACGTTGCGGAAGCAAACTTGCTCCTCCCGACCGGCACATTCTTTGTATTTTTTGCCTCGGGGAGTCTCATAAACCGGAGTCCTGTCGTCATTGTGCTCATTTCTCCAACCAAACAAGAAAAAAACGCACGGCGCGCCTTAAAGTAGCACTGCTTGAATCGGCTCTTGCCACACTGATGGAGGAGAGACCGTCCACGTCGACAGCTCCGACACCGAGGCCCGCCTTCGATGTTGACTGCCCAACACCGAAGCTACCGACATCGAAGGCACGATCGACCGCTTCCACGCCTGTTAAGAAGAAGGCTAAGGCAAGTACAGAAGCCAAGTCCGCGAAGAAGGGCACCTCGAAGTCCCTCAAGGCGGCTAAGACGGGGAAGGCGGCGGTACAAGCACTGGGTGATGCCCCTGTA